CATTGGAGAAGTTCATGGAGGACTGTCTCCCATGGGAGGGACCCCATGCTGGAGCAGGGGGAGAGTGTGAGGAGTCCTCCCCCTGAGGAGCAAGGGAGCAGCAGAGACAATATGTGATGAACTGACCATTAACCCTTATTCCCTGTGTCACTTGGGGGAAGGAGGTAGAAAAAGCAGGAGTGAATTTGAGCCTGGGAAGAAGGGAGGGGTGGGGTAAAGGTGTTGGTTTTTTTTAAGATGTGGTTTTAGTTCTCATTATCCTATTCTGATTGTAATAAATTAATTTCCCCAAGTGGAGTCTGTTTTTGCCCATGATGATAATTGCTGAGTGATCTTCCTATCCTTATCTCGACTCATGACCATTTTGTTGTATTTTCTCTCCCCTGTCCAGCTGAGAAGGGCAGGCATGTGTTCAGCCATCTCCAGGGAAGCAGGGCTCGATCATGCGTAATGGTTTCTTGGGAAGACAGACGCCATCACTCCGCATGTCCCTCTCCCTTCTCCTTCTTCTTTGTCCCTGCTTTATATACTGAGCATGATGTTATATGGTGTGGAATATCTCTTTGGTCAGCTGTCCTGGCTGTGTCCCCTCCCAGCTTCCCGTGCACCCCCAGCCTTCTTGCTAGCAGGCCAGCATGAGAAGCTGGACTGTCCTTGACTACTTAGCAACAACTCAAAACATCAGCACCTTATCAACATTTTCTCATCACAAATCCAAAACGTAGCCTCACACTAGCTTCTGTGAAGAAAATTAACTCTGTCCTGGCTGAAACCAGGACACTACACTATCAGAAATAGAGCTACCTCGTCTATATCTCACTTAGTACTGACCATTCTCAAAGTGGTGTAAGAATGTGAGTCTCAGAGTAGATATAGGTACTCTAAGAATAAATTGGGATCCATCTCCTTCAAGACTTAGATTACAGTATGTGTGACGGATGCACTTACTCTGAGCAAACAGTACTTTGGTTCAGGTATTGCCAACAAGTAGGCCTAACTGTAATCAGCTTTGCTGTGCAAACCTTGAGAGTTGTGCTATGCTCTATCTTCTCAGGAGCCAAGGAGTCTAGGCCATGTCTTATCAGGAGCTAACAGTACCAGCCTGAGCTGGGACTAGACAAAACTAAAACTGCTACAGCTGCACGTACACCAAAGGGGGGGTTGACTACAAGTCAATCACTTTATACTATAAATACCTGTAGCCCACCCTCCCAAGCACCTTGAGTTCTCCTGTATTGCACCAGGCTACAGGATGGTGATCCCCCCCTTGAGCAGGGATGCCTCTCACGGTTACTCCTTCAGGTTGAGACCCCCCCTTATCTATAGATATCACCCCCTTATCATTATAGATATCAGCTGCTGGGTGACATTTTACATTAGGCCTAAAGGTATATTGTATACTAGTGACACATATATATCTCCAGCTATAGCTTAATTATTAGAAGTGTAGTAAGTAGTAGAGTGTTTGACTGCTGTCCAATCATAGTCTAAATTATAATTTAAATAATTGCCAAATCACTATTTAATTGCTATTCAATTATTGCTTAATCACCATTTGATTACCATTTAATTATCATTTCAATTATCATTTGATCATCATTTAATCATTAATAAACCCCTTTTAGTTAACCCCACAATGATGACTTCTCTTAATTCACCTGTGACAGTATGTGAAGACATGTGAATACTGTTTGAACAACCCAGTGTTGCCTCTTGCACCTGTATCTAGGCCTGAGGGTGCTATTATTGCTTGAAACACCTGAACAGACTTTGAAGAACTTTCAAAACTGTAATTACTGCTTCTCTCTCTCTCTTTGTTTTAATGATTATTACTTTGATGTTCAGATCCAAATACAGCACAGGTTTGATATTTTCTGGTTCAATTAATACTAACTGAACATACGATTAATACAGAGAGTCCATAGCAGGCAACATGGGCCAGCTGCTTCACTTTACATCATACCAGAGACTATGCAGCTGCATGATCGTGCTAGCAACTACAGTTGGCAAAATTATGCCCTCATGTGATGCTATCATATCTCCAAATGAGAGGGAGCTATGCCCTCTCTCTTTGTCAGTGCTAATTGTCAAACCAAGCCTTTTTCTTGAGTCATTAGTTTTATAACTGATGGACTGAACAGCTCTGTATTTTGAAGTATGGATCAAAAACAAATCACTGAAGCTGGGTGGCCTGAAGGTGTTCGGAGTGTATTGTGCAATCCAAGACAAGGTGCAAGCAGTTCTGTGTAATGATTGTGAAATGGCTTTTCCTTTCCAAAGAGCACTCTTCCATCCCTCAAACCTCCCCAATAATGGATATGAGAGAAGGTATTTTGATTTCTACACTCGTCTCTGAAGTTCTTGCCACCTTCAGTGAGATTCTTCAGTAGCTGAACTTCCACCTCCTCTCCTATTTAAATTTTGTGACTTAACATCTCCTGGTTTTTAGCAACCATTTCTACCTGGGTTTAATGTAGAGCTGAACAAG